CTTCCACACAACATTTCATTAGAGAAAATCGTTAATTTCATAATAAATCATTAGCAAAAAACTATGCATAATTAGTTCATAAACATCATAACTAATTTCATTGATGCCATTTTTACATGGCGATTATTATATATCTGTATTTGTTCATGTACTTGTCCATGGTAGCACTTTGTATTGTTCTATTGGTAGCCTACACTTTTTTGTGGTTGTATTAAATTTTTTCTAAGAAAAAAAAGTATTTTGTTTTATCACCTAGAGCATTACGGTCATTTAGAATTAGTATACCAATCCAAGTAACTAGAGAATGACGTCTTCTCCAACCAAGATAATCATCAGCTCTTTTTGAATCATCGACTCAATCATCCATGCAATGAGTATCCTATGTGAAAACTATGTATCATTATGTTTTTGTGTGCGTATGGTTGTTGGAGAGTGCAAGAGAGGGAGAAGGGGATCATCATTAGCTAGGAGATCCCTAGATTGGGAGTGTCATAAGGCATCCGTACAAATACATAAGACGATAAAAAAAAATTGAAAAATATAAGATCAATCGCAAAAAAAATTGAAATAATTTAGATGCAAAATTAGTACATTAGAAATATCTCTAACTATACAGTATATACTTTTTTTGATTAAGTAGATACTTACAATAAATTTACTCAAATGAATTTTGAGATTAACACCTAATATTTATTTATTTAAGGCATCTCATATAAAGTCCTTCACATAATATACTAAAGATATTAATGTGATCTTAGATTGTAAATAATAATAAAGGATAATATTTCGATCAAATTATATACAAGTTCTACTCTTTTCTTCACATATCCCCTTTCATTTCCCAAAAAAAAAAAAAGAAATATCGACAAATGTAGAAATAAAGAGAGAAAATAGATACTGAGACAGGAGAGAAATCACTCTCCCTCTGATACATATTTTATGAAAAAGATGAGACAAAATCCCACAACCATTTGTGAAAAATGTTGGACCCACTACTCCCTACATCAAATGTCATTTTGCAGTTGGATTTAGAACTTTCTAGTTGTGATTGATGCCGATCAGCAAAGCTCTTTCACTTCGAAAATTTTATGGCACATGAGTTTGAATAATTGTTGCTTACCTTTTTTATTGACATGTAATTATTGCTTACTTTTTTTATTGGACATGCATTTGTTGCTTTCGTTTTCCATTAATATGCATTTATTACTTCCATTCCCATAAAAATATAAAGAATACGAGTATGTTAACCTATTGACCAACTCCTATTGGCTTGGGATTCCAGTCCTCCAACACTGGATTGTGGTCTGACCACGATTCAACTCTAGAGTAGAGAGGGATCACAACCCATATAAGGAGATCGAAGTAATTAAGACATCTCTCTCTCTCCTC